TTTTTGGGGTCCTCCCACCACCTTGCAACGTGACAGAAACGTTGAAATGTAATATTTATTCGACACATTTTTACAGCTTTGGGAAATGTTAAGAATGTTTGTGTCATGGTTGTTCTCTGACAGAAACCGTATTTAAAAAAAAAAAAAAACCCTCCCACATCTTTTTCCATTTTCAAACATTTTTTATAAAGCTCCAATGAGCATCTCGATGACACAAACTAGATGCTCTGGAGCCGCGTGTTGTCCTGGCCAGCCGCCCCCTGGCCTGGGGGGAGCACCAAAAAAAAAAAAAAAAAAAATCAAGCTCGTAAAAGATTTTAATATTGGAATCACAGTATATCACATGAATAAGAAAGGCTGTTCATAGTGATGGGACGAAATGGGTCGAGGCTCCGAAGCTTGTGTCGAGGCGCGCTTCATTTCGGCAAAACCCGGATATGATGACGTGTGAAGCCTCGCCGGCCGGCTGAATCACATGAACGCTTTGTGAGTGGTCCGACGCATTGCAAACACAGTACAGACTACGGTATAAATAGGTTGCAAAACGCAATGGCGATCGCCTGTTATCTCACATTTTGTGGATTTCGAGCTCCTGGACTTGTTACACCTGTTTTTTTACAAATTATACAACCAAATGATATTGTAACCAAATTATGTTAGTACAATTTAACTAAATATCTGCATAGTTTACAGGGCCTGCGTGTTTCATTCATGCATTTCTTTCACTGAATTTTAACCGTAGAATTCATACTCTCTACCAATCCTGCAGATTGTGCATGGCAGGAGCATTGGTGTCTTAAATCAAAATGAAACATGCATCAAAGTTTATCAATTTCTCTGTTCATAAAATGTGTTCACAATATAGGTTAAAACCATAGGTTGTATAATGTTTCCGAACCGGAGACACCATTCCCCCTGCCGACGTGAGATTTTCCATGACGTCAAAGAATTTTGGGCAAAACGGGATTATTGTGAAAACTGACAGAAATCCCATTTTGCAATGCAGCTCCCTTGTTTTACCACAATACTTGTTTATTGATTGGAATTTGATGCTGCATTTTCGAACAGAATTCAATTTGTAAAATGTTATCCCCTCGCTTACAGTCAGTAATTTCCTCAAAAATTTCGACGCTGCATCTGTCCTTGTTTTGTCATCAGTGCTCGTTGTGTGCACCGTGCAATTACGTATCCCAATTTGATGTGGAAACTGAACAGCATTTGTCTTTCAGATTTGTGATTATTTTTCTTTTCTTCAGTCAATTCCTGACAATCATATTAGCCACTGTGCTGGCCAGAAAATGCGTGACTCACTTGTTGCATTCAAAATAAAATAGGTTCAAAAGTAAAATGTAAAATAATTATATCAATCAGATTTAAGACAATAAATTGATGAGATGCCATAATGTAATGGAGCATCGATTTTGAGTAAGAGAGAAAAGTGACGTATAAATATGCTATTGTGTGTGCTCAAATAGTCTGCGCGCAAACCGAAAGTTGTACAAATACATTCAAAAATAGTCTGCATTTGTTTTTATGTAGACTTCAGATTTATATGTCCAACAAACAAACAAACAAATAAACAAACAAACACCCTCCAGGAAGTGGTCATCATGCAACAGGGTTAAATACCGGTACTGTGCATCTTTCAGTGTTAAATGGGATCGAGAATACAATATAGCCATGCAAGGTAAATGTCGAGTAGGTGACAAAAACGTCATGTTAGTGTGCAGCAGCTCATTCATTCTGTCTTTTTTTCTAACACTCTTTCAGCATGCAGAGCTTGCCCCATGCACTGATCAAGGCTGCCAGGTGTCTTTTCGACCCAATGTCTATCCATCCATTGTCGAACAGAATCATTCGAGTCAGC